TCATGCAGTAGGTCTCTGTGATCTGACTTGCTTTCAAGAACTCCATGCCATCAAATGCGCATGTGCATCCACTCTAAGGCACGCACAGCCTCCACATCCGGCTGTGGTATGGCTGTTGTATCAGAGTTCCATGTTTTTGTACTTATTGCTCTTTTTTTAAGAAAATGAAAATGCATCCCAGGAGTAGTAATTTAAGAGACTATGCATAACCATCCTCTGACTGCATCCAACTAACTGCCAAGCTCAGGGCCATTAACCAGAACTCTAGCCACAAGGAGCCCAGCTGGGAACTGGAGCTCCGGGCGCTGGGCCAGCATCCTCAGGCGCCGCAGCCGCAGCTTCTCCTTCCCGCCAGTCTCCGCCTGCGCCTGCGCCTGCGCCCGCGTGAGGAGGCGGTGCCTGCCCTCGGCCGCGGGCCCCACCCACCGCGGGAGCTTTACGTCGATACGCTGCGCCGCGCCGCCCAGCGCGCTATTCACGTACCTGTGATCCGCCTCCCGGAAAGAGATCCTGCGGCGGACCATGGCGACCAAGGCGGAACAGTGGGTACTGGTGGAGATGGTACAGGCGCTCTACGAGGTGTGCTCTGCGGCCACGCCGGCCCTGGCGAGGGGGCGACGGTGCCTGTGAATCTGTGCTCCGAGGCCGCCGCGGCGCCGACTGGGTCGTGTCCGCCCGAGAGGGCTCCCCGGAGGTTGTGGGACTTCGGGGTTCTGGCCGCTCAGCTTAGGGTGTCGGGAGGCACTGTTCCTGGCAGGTCGAGTGCGGGCACTGTGCAGGGCCGTGGGTCGGAGAGCTTCAAGATCTCGGTCGGGAGATGTGCTTGAGGAATCAGGTCTCTAGAAATAGGAAGAAGTTATCTGAGAAAACAATACGATAAATTGGAGCCTATTTTTGTTGGGGGTAGGGAGAGGGAGAGTTAGGAAATCGAGGGGTTTACAGTTGGACTATGAGATAGTTTGTCATCTCACGTACATCCTGCTTTATCTTGTAAAGATGCAACCATTTAGTAGATTTTTAATGAGAGTAGTTTTTGTTTCTTTTAAAAGCCTGCTATCAGGTAGGTGAGATAGTAGGAAATCAAAATGTGGATCTTAAGAGAATGTTTATTAGTTTGACATCCTGGGCTTTCTTGTAGAAATTCTGCACCTCCTACTTCAGGGCTGTTCAGTATAGTGGTCACTAACCACCTGTGGTGGTACGCAGGGAGGAGGAACTGAGTTTCTAATTAAATATAAATCACAATGTGGTATCCTACAGATCTAGACCTTAGGAATAGTTCAGCGCGCAAACAAGCCAGAGCCCCTGCGCTTATAGAGCTTACATTTAAAGTTAATTTCATTTTTCTTTTGATAACATTTTTGGGAACAGTGTTACAGCTCACTGGAAGAGGAATAATAGTGTCTTCCAATACAAGACATATCCAGACAGGATTCATTTTTAAGAATATTGGAAGTAGTGTACTTTTGGTGCTCCTATATCCTTAGCCAACATTAGCTTAGTTTTAGTGATTAGGATAAGAAAAGCCACAACAAATGATTTTTTCAGAAGTGAACAATTTTCTTCCCTTTTTGAAGTCTTTGAAGGTGTGACTTCTACTCTGAAAGTGACTAACAGAAAGGATTGGCAAAGTTCCTGAAGTGGCATTTGTGATTTTTATCAGTTTACTAATTGAAATTCCTTACCCTGATTTCTTTGTGAGGTGGAATGCTTAGTGAAAATGATCTGCCAAATTCCAATTATTGAGAAATATATTGATATTATACTTAATTCCTGAACAAATTATACTTAAGGGGACCAGCAAATTTTTAAAAATTATCTTAAGGAGAGACTTCTGATGTGTTTGCAATGTCTATATACTTTATAAAACTTGAGGAAGCTTGTATAGTTTACCCCCAAAAAGACATATAACAGGGGATGGTGATAGCATATGTATGTATTTTTAAAGCTGTATTTTGACTTGAAAGTTTATGTATTTGTTGGCAGCATACTAGTCTCCAGATTCTGTCTTGTTTTGTTTTTAAAACTATGATAAATTATTATCACTGTTCTTTGATGCTTGACAATAATATAAATCTTGAATTTCCTTTTTAAAATGATATTTCCAAAAACAGCTCACTGGAGTAGAGCAACCTACCTCCATTACTAACTGAATGGAGGTTTAATTGGTATGTGGAATTAAAAAAAAAAAAAAAAACAACTAGAAGTTTCCACACAAGACAGACTAGCCTTTATCCTGAAAATATAAAATTGAGAAAGATCTTAATCTTGTGAACGTTAACATGGAAAACATAATATGCTGTTGGGTAACTGATAGAAAAGAGAACTGCTATACCATTAAGCACTTCAACCTTTCCCGCCCCATCTGCCATATTCCAGGAAGGAATTAAGTAGATTAAAGAGTTAAGGAAATACAGAAAATATAGTACATTGTGAAAAACATTATAAGACTTGGGGAAACTAGTTTTTACCCAGCTCTCTTAGCTTATCCATGAGGTGATAGAAGGTACCAGTAAATATTTAAATTACCTGACGGATGTAATAGTTGATAAGGTGTTAAATACTGGAGCTCTGTGCTGCATTTTATTTTTAAAACTACATTTTTATGAAGTTTTAAAAGCTAAAGTAACAGGTTTCTTGTTTTAATATTACCTATTGTCTAAAATGGGAAAGAGGAATGAGTAGACATTAAGGGAGTTTTGAAAGTAGGTTGCAAGAAACAGTAGGGTAGGGCCATAAGTAGCAATACAGGTTGGCTAAATTTTATGTGTAGACCTTGAAGTGTTCATATTATTTGTATATTCTTTTTTTTCTTTTCTCTTAGGCTCCTGCTTACCATCTTATTTTAGAAGGAATTCTAATACTGTGGATAATCCGACTTCTTTTCTCTAAAACTTACAAGTTACAAGAACGATCTGATCTTACACTCAAGGTAAGAAATTTAATCTTTTTAATGGATATGGGATTATAACTGTTGCATCTTTCTAAAAAAAGTTGTGACTCAATTATATAGTAATGTTAAAATGTTTTGTCATGAAAGGGAATCACGTGGAATCAAAAAGGCAATATGGAGAAAGTATTTAAAGGAATGCCATTTTTTGATCTTGTATTTGCTGGCAATAAACAATAACCTGACAAGTAGATGATTTGGGGTGACATGAGCAGTTACTACATTCTTGTTGTCCAGATGAAGGATACATGAGTTATCCATGTAGCCTTCACAAAAGTGATTTGAGTTAGAAGACTCCAACCTGCCCCCATCTCAAGGAATGTGTTGTGTTGTTATATGGTAAGGGAAGAAATAAATCCTGATCATAGAAATAAAAGTTTCTTAATTGTCAAGTTGCATACAAAATTGCATGGAAAAAAGTGAGATGAAGGCGGTAAGTAGACAAAAACTAGAGAAGAATTGTTTTCCTTCCAGTTACAACTGCTATATAGATTTCTGGCAATGTATTCATTATGAATTTCCATTCCAGCATGTAGTTTAGATGTCGCTGGAATCAGTGTAAAGTCTTGAACACTTTTTTTCCTGTAGGAAAAGGAAGAATTGATTGATGAGTGGCAGCCAGAACCCCTGGTTCCTCCTGTCTCCAAAGATCATCCTGCTCTCAACTACAACATCGTTTCAGGGTAAATGGATTTTGCTGCCTGAAGGACTTGTTTGGTTTCCCGAAGTTGTATTTGCCTCAGAGTACACTGGGTTATAGCATATTACTTTTTCCCCCCACAGTATCATGACCTGTCACACTGAGCTGCCTCCTCAGGCTTTTTCATTTTTTTATTTTGAGACAAGGTCTTACTGTGTTGCCCAGTGTAGCCTCATTGTGAACTCCTGCCTCAGCATCCCAAATCGCTGGGTTTATAGGGTGTGCCTGTGTTCCTAGCAGTGTTCCTTTTTTAACTGGAGCAGTTAATTAATCCCTGACATTTCTGAGAGTACTTGTTTCACATATAGATTTTTTTTAAGTTGATGTCCTTTTATTACAGATTTAAAAGGCAGAATTAGATACCACATGAGCAAGTTGGGGATTTAGCAAGACCTTGTCTCAAAGGGACTGGAGATGTAGCTTAGTGCAAAGGCCCTGGGTTCAATCTGCAGGAATAAATAGAAATTTTCAGAGATGATCTAGGCATCCTCTTTTCCTGAGGTACCAGAGGTAGAGGGCAGGCAAGAGTGGAATGTGTTGAGCCCGGCTGTACCCCTCCCAGCCAGGGCTGAACGCGGGTTTCCCAAAGTTCCTAAGACTGCTTCCCTAGTTGAAAGGACAAGATGCCCTTGCTGCTTGTGTCCCTCAAGGGAAACAGCTGGCCTTGCCTGGTCTCTCCTCCCTCCTATTTTGTCCATGCTTCCCCCTCCTCAAGCCACTACTGAAAACCGCTGACAGCTATCCCTGTGCGCCTGCCACCTGCACCCCTGCTCTCCACTGCCCACATGTCTTGCCCTGGCCAACAGCAGCCACTCAGGGGGCCCGCCTCACTCGCAGGTCGCCTGCTCTAGAGGGGACTTGGGACCCTGACCATGGATGCCCACTCACAGTCCCACCTGTCTGTAGCACCTACTGACACTTGTGTTCAGCCGTGTGCCCTGGACTCCTGCTGGCAAGGGAGTGGGAGGTGGTTGCTCACCTGCAGGTGGGGCAGGGTGGGGCGGGGCTTGGCCACCTCCACGGGTGGGATGGGGTGGGATGGGGAGGAGAGCCACGCTGGGCATTCACCCTGAGCAGCATGTGCACCATACACCTCTAGCAGTTTTTCTTAGGGATAGTCTAGGTATTCTCTGGGGTATATCTGTAGTCTAGTAATATGAGGGAGAGAACCGAGACAGGAATGGCCAGTGCCAGAGAGAAGAAGCTCCTGAGCTAACAGTAATGGGAGGGTCTTGGACTTGAGTACTAAAACTTTTTTTTTTTCTAAAAGAGATTTTTTTTTCCTCTCCCAAAATAATGTAAGCCCATGTTAATATTTTAAATGGTCAGAGACATTTAAAATGAAAAGTATCAAATTCTTGTTTTCACCTGCCTGGTTTATTTCTGGTTTTGCATCTATTGTGAGTTACCTCCACAGCTGTAGATATTAACAGTCTGTATGTACTATTTTTTCTTGGTTCCTCAGCTGTACATACAACTTACTGACCTTCAGAATATGAATTATATGACTTCAGCTCATTTATGCCCCCTCCCTCCTATTCTCTAATTATGATCTATTGTATTTTTAGTTGTTAAATTACCTTTGCTTCAGTGTTTTGCTTTTTTAAATCAGTAAGTATTTTAAATATACAGAAAACAGCAAATACTATATACTCACCACACAGATTAATAAACTTTAATATTTTGGTATTTATATTTCAAATATATTTTACTTACTTATTTATTTTTAGACAGGGTCTCACTGTGTAGTTCAAACTATTGAACTCACTTTGTAATCAAGTTAATCTCCAACCCATGGTGATCTTTCTGCTTCAGCCGCTCAACTGCTAGGACTACAGGAATGCAGCACCATGCCTGCATATGTACCCACCTGGCAAGCACAAGTTCCCATGTTTGATCCCTGGTACAAGTACATAAATAGAAATATATTTCTGTAAATTCAGGTTACTCTTGGTTTGTATAGAAACTGTCTTGAAAACAATGTCTTTCCTTTGCATATGGTTATAATTTTATTACAAATCATTGTTGCCATGTACGTATTTACTAATATGTAAATGTTATATTCTTGTAATCTAAGGGAGGCTTTTTAATCTTCAACTCTGTGGTTCTCTTTAATCCTACAAAAGGTTACATGTTTCCAAATCAAATTTACGAGTCTTTTATCTAATCCTTGGTCTTTTGAGGAATTAAGAAAGTGTTTCCTACCCTAAGCTCTAATTTGACTGTTTTCTTTATGATAGTTACCCTGGAATTATTTATTGAATAGTCCATTTTTTACTTAATGATTGGAAATTTTACTACTATTGTATATACTTTGTTCCCTTATTAAAAGTCTGTTTCTCGTGTATCAGTTCTTCTGGTATTCTTGTCTCTTCACTTGCTAGACCCTTACTCATAAATGCCACAGTTTTATAACAGATTTTAACTGGTGTGAGCCTTTAAAATTTCTTGTTCTTCAGAATTGGCTAGGCCTTTTTGCTCTTTATTCTTTACTAGTTAGGTTTAGCTGATAAGATTTGACATCCCTAGCCCCCTCCCCCGCAAAAAGGTTTTTGAGTTTTTATTAGGTATTGATTTTCTGGGTTATTTTACAGTGAAGTAGTGAAATAGTATCTTGCTGATTGTAAATCATAGCAACCTTGTATGTGGTTTGTAAATTATATACTTGGATTTTTTTTTTTCGTGGAACCGGGGATTGAACTCAGTCTCTTGAGCTTGCCAGGGAAGTGCTTATCCCACTGAGCCATCTCGCCAGCCCTATACTTGGATTTTTCATCTCCTATAATATAAATACAGAACTTTTTTTCAGAATTTTCATCATAAAGACTTATCTTTTCTGTGACTTTTTTTCTGAAGTATTTGCGGATTCCTGTGCAATTGTAAAAAATAAAAAATAAATGCAGACAGACCCTTTTGTTAGTTAGCTTCCTGTCACTATAACAGAATACCTGAGATAAACAGTTTAAAAGGAAGAAGGACTTACTTGGCTTATAGTTTCATAGGTTTTAGTTCATGATTTCTTGGCCCTGTTGCCTTTGGGCCTGTGGCCAAGCACATTATAGTAGAGATGTTGGGTCCCTGGCCCTTGCTTCCTAATTGCTGTAAGATGAGAGGAGTGTCTCAGGGATGAGTGACTAAGAGTGGCTGCAAGTACTGTGAGCTAGGTTAAGTAGGAGGCCTGATGTCGCCTCTACAGGATGCACAGAAAGAGAGATACAAAAAGTAATCTGCGTATCACACGTTGGGGCAGTATTTAGTGGTTTGGGGTTGGGGCTTCCATTTTGATGTGTAATCCATGCCTTGAGAAGTTGCAGCCTCTTTTCTCCAGGATCATTTTCAGCCAACAGCATGGTATCGCTTTATCATTTGGCTTAGCTCACATGTGTTACTTGGGAGCTGTAAGCAGGAAATCACTGAGCTGTCCCATTGCTTTAAAGTCAATATCAGCACCTTACCTAGATGCATTTGCATTGCTGAAAGTCAATTGAAGGGACAAGGAAATGTCCTAGCCTGCTCTGTACATATCAAAACGAAGAGGTAGGACCAAATGTTTTTCCAGGTGATTCTCCACAGCTCTTCTAGGGCCTTGGAATAGAGTTGGAAAAAGGGGTCATATTATTTGCACTTTTATGACTGCTGTAATGTCATGCATTATTTAAGCTGTGATGTTTTTGGTTTTTGTACATTTCTGTCTTTCCTGAAGTTCATCTTCCCTTTGCTCACTTGTTTGATTCTATTTACCAATCTCTGGTTCATCCTGATCTTCTTTCAGAAGTATAGATCTTCGTTGCGACTGTTATATGTAGGGTTGGTTTTTCTTCTCAGAACCTTCTGCCCTGCTGCTCCAGGCCTGATTAGCTGCTGTCTGCAGCTACTGTACAGGTGGCATGTAATCTCCTATCACCATTAGCTCAGTAAATGCTGTACTCTCTAGCATTAGCTGTTTCCTGTCTTGGTGTTTTCCCCTTGTAGTAATAGCATATAAATTCCCAAGAAGGATCTGTGCAAGGTTTTACATGTCTTAAAATTGTTCATTTAAAAAAAATTTTTTTTTGATCTCTTAAACACCTGAATATCTGGTGATCCTTATCAATTTTTTTGTATGAAAATTTTTGCATATTCAAAACCACTATGTAAGTTATTTGCAGAAATTATCTAAAGGATGACTTGTTCAAAATTAAATTTATTGGTACATTTGATAGTGTTCTTTGAAGCACAAAAATTTTTCAATTTAATATATAGTCTTTTATGTTTTTCTTGTTGTTTATGTTTATTTTGTCCTACCTAAAATATGTTTAATCCAAGATTATGAAGATTATTCTTTCCTTTTAAAAATATATAGGTTTCACCCTTGCACTTGGATCTGTGATTCATTTTGAGCTAACGTTTATATATGGTTCTTGCAAGGGTTCTAATTTCATGCTTTCATATGTGGATGTGCATCATTTGTTGAAAGAACAATTTTTCCTCTAGAATTGTCTTGTTGAAAATCAGCTATGAATGTAAGTTAGATTTAAGATGTGGTTGCCATTGTATACAGTACACTTGAGAATAAGTGACAGTAACTTTACAGTGTAGAGGAATGTATCGTAAACTCAAGGTTTAGAGGAGGAAAAAACTGGCTTAAAAGGTATTAAGGATGTCTTCACTGATTTATCGTGCTTATATTTTCCTTTTCATAAGTATAAAAGTACTGTGACAAAAATCTGTGACTAAGAATGTCTGATAGACCTATTTATGAAATGTAAACTGAAAAATTCTACATGTCAAGGAAACATTACATTTTAGTTGGTAGGTTTTCCTTAGCAGTAGATAAAGTCTAATTGATCATCTGTTAAGATTCTTTGAAATATGGTGGTAAATGTCTTACCTATCATCTGTTAACTTTTTCTTAGGTATATTTCATTGAACCAGTTTCTTAGTTTTAGCTTAGTCAGATGCATCCATGTTGGCCTTATGTTTTGTGTATTTGAAGGCTTCTATGTTTAAGCAATCATTTCCTACTTTAAGGTCACAAAGACATTCCTCTGCATTTTCATCCACTTTTGTTCTTTTTGCTGTGGTGTCCAGTAGTGTCTGAACTCACCTCTGTACATGATCATTCAACTTTATCATTAGCCATCAAGAACAGTCTACGTGGAACCTAGTGATTTGTGGGACATCTGTTTTTGCTTGTCAGGTACTTGTACTGCATACTCCAGTGTACACGACAGTTTTCTTGTGCTTCAGATCATTGACTTTTTGCCTGCCTGAGCCTGTGCGGAATCTGATGTTACTAGGGTCTGAAATATTGCTGTTTTCTGCAAAGCACCTTGTTCCCTATTTCTAGGTTCATAGTTTTGGTACCTCTAGAAATCTTACTGAAAATTTCATTGAGACAGAACTGGGTTTATAGCTTATTTTGGCTGATTGTTAAAACTTTGAAATGTTAAGGCAACTCTTCAAATGAGTATCATACATCTCATAGTTTATTCCTGTATATATATTTTTTCTAAATACTTTGTATTTTATTATGTATTGTATGTATATTTTTATCATTAGGGTGTTTGTTTGTTTTGTTTTGTTTTTTCCAGTGGTTTCTCGATAGTGTTGAATTTTTTATGTGAGATGACCTGCAGGTGACAGTGTGATCTTGTAGTGTATGTCCATGTATTGTCATGTACTCTGTTTATTTATATTTTTGCCTTTTAGGATTGATTTGGTTTTCAGCACTGTGCTCAAGAGTAAAGATAGCAAGCATCTTTTTTTATTCTTGTTGAGGGAACGCTTCCTTTGTTTCCCACTTCATAACTATAGAGGTTAGGTTTATATAGTCTTACTGATATGAGAACATTCATTCATGATCTTAGGTTTCTAAGAATTTTAATTTATAAGTACATGTCCAACTTTGTAAAATGTTATTTTTGCATTTGTTAAAATCATTGTGTGATTTTAGTTCAGTAAGTATATTATATTTTTTATACATCTTTTCAATTTGTTTTTTTCTCTTAGTTGAACACTCAGTTTACACATTTTAAATCATTTGTAGTACTGAGTCACAGTCTCTTTCCCAAGAACTTGAGAATGAAAATTCTGAATATTTTTTTGTTGGTTTTTTTGTTTTGTTTTGTTTTGAAAGACAATGAATCATGTCTTATTGCACAACCACCCACATGAAGCCAGGGCAGCAACCTATGTGCATATTTCTATTCAGTGCAATAAGTAAAAGCAGTACTTTTCAGTTTAGGGCAGGTTTAATACCAAATTAATATGTTAGAAATTTTAAGTTACATATAGAGATCAGTGAACTGTTGTACTGATTAAGGCCAAGTCCTTGTAAATCCTGTTCCAGTTCTCATTTAAGATATAAGTATTTTCTCATTTTCACTTTGACTTTTTCTTTTTGCTTGCTTGCTT